TAAGGAATTTACAATATAAATACTAGCTCCCGAGTCTAACCACCAAGAATTTAAAGGCACATTTACTAAAGAAGACTCAAAACAAACTAAGACCAAGGGAATACCTGGAGAGCTCTTCTTCTTTTCCAACAAAGTCTTAAACTTAAAACAGTCTTTCTGCTAGTGACCCTTCTTTTTACAGAACTTGCATTGATCATTTTTCTTTATAACTTCTTTAAGACCACTAAAATTTTTATTCTACTGACTTTGGTGGGACTTATTACCCTTACGAAACTTAGGCTTATAATTATGAGAAGGCCCCTTATTCTGTGATGGCTGAAAAGCTAATTGCACAATTTCAACAGTTTCACGATGCAGCCTATTCTCTTCTTGGGCACACACTGCTATGAGGTCATTCAAATTCCATTTATCCTACTGAGCATTGTAAGCAACTTTAAGCTGATTAAACTTGCTAGGAAGACTATTCGAAACATGATAGACTAGGAAAGGTTTCACAATGGGAATGTCTAGAGTCTTTAGCTTAAATGATATATTTATCATTTTCATGACATGCTCCCTAACACCACTTGTACCATCATATTTCATGCTCATCAATTTTTTTTCCATCAGATCCCCAGATTCGACTTTATCAGACTCAATAAATTTTTCTCTTATGACATCCATTAAAACTTTTCACATTTTCATTATCGAGTGTGGCACCTAGAATGGAATCAGATATCGATCGCTTAATGATTTTCAAACAAAGTTTGTTAGCCCTCTCCCATATTTCATGCTCGGTTACATATAAAACAGTACTCTTACCTGTAGGTTTCTCAAACTTTTTCTCCATTGCAAAATCCAAGCCCAAAAGACCAAGTGTTATTTTTACGTCTCATTTCCATCTCACATAGTTATTCCCAGTCAAGGTTTCAATAGCAGACAATTGATTCGAAAGAGATGGGGCATTATAAACTGTGGAAACTTAAAATATGACTCTTAATATCATCCAAACGTAATACATGTAATCAAATGGATGATGTAATATCCAACTAATTAATATGGGCTATTAATTAGATAATCCGTAATTTAAATCAAAATCATATGAATTTTATTATAGTAAGAGCTTAGATACATCATTATAAAGTCACCTTTGGACCGATAATATAATATAGCTAGTTAGCAAAATCACATTGGTTTTTGAAATTTCAACACCTTTGGGCAGAAGGAGATTTCTAGACCAAGGCAAACTCGTTAACTGCCTTATGCCATTTTTCAAAAAATATCCTATATAATAACACTTTTGGACAATATATTATATGCAATAAATTAAAATTGTTGGGCAAAAATATATGTATTTTTATTGTCAAGAAAATCGAATAAATAATAATGAGTGTGTCACTTTGGCAGCTACCACCCATTTTTATTTCAAAATATTTTTCTCTCAGTGGGAGAATAAGAATCGTCTCGAAGCCCATGAAAAATTCAATCACAGAAACAATAATTATGAAACAAACCATAATCGTCAATCGATAAAATGCGAAAATTTATATATATATATATATATATATATATTTCATTTGAGTCCATTATTAAATAAAATTTTTAACTGGGTCAAAATTTAAAATTTTAGGGTCCTAACTTTGGAAGTTCAAATTAAGGGCCCCTTATTGAAAATTACATTATAACCCTAAATTCAAATTAAAATCAGGTCCTTCAACTATATAAATTACATGACAAGCCCTCCTTTTATTATTTACAAAACCTGACCCCCAATCTGTAATTGCAAATAAGAGCTTGGAAATCAGCTATTTACAACAAAAGCCCCCGTCCTCCCCTTACTACCCTTTTATCAAAAACGCCCAAAATATTAAAAAAAAAAAAATTGTGCGGCGCCGAGGGGAGAAAAGGGAGGAACCTGTTCGCTAAACAATCGATTAATATTCTTTAGACAGAAAATTAGGAAAAATTGCAGTCGAGGTACAAAATATTTCGTTTATTAGCAGACTTTGTCTAAACCTTTAATTCGTGTCACTGTGAATATCAAACCTTTAAAAAATGTGCAGCTCAAGTCCGAAATGACGATTTTCATTAGTTTGACTGCCAAAACTGTCAGTTGACCTCAAAAATTAAAAATCTAATAATTTTAACCAAGTAAGACAAAGGTAAAATTGTAACTTAATAAAGGTTTGATATAATTGGCTATATATTAATAATTTAACAATAAAATATTAAAAAAGAAGAAGATTAAAAGCATCCAAACCTACCCTTTCTTCCCTGCCCCAAAGTCGTTGCTGCCACCATAACCCAGGCGATCGTTCGCCATCACCATCCAAGTTGTCGAACGCCACCACCACCGCCCCAGCTATCCAGGTGAATTCAAGACTTCCGAGCCATTAGAAGAAGCAGAAGTCAAACAATCTAGTGAGGAAGGCAGCCCTGAAGCCGTATGTGCTGAGGAATAGTAGCACTTTAAAAAATCAATCTTGTACTAGCAAATACTTACTAAGAGTTGTTATTCTTGTAGTACTATATGCTTGTGAGATTTGTTTTATTTTGTATTGGGATATTGGTTTGAAGAGAGGAGCACTTCCATATCTGTATACTGCGTTGTTCAACCAATTTAAGAGGTAACACGCCCAGAAAGTAGTGTTAACAGAGGTTTTGGTTGTATGCTCACTCCCATGTATACTTCGTTGTATGTTCACACCCAGATAACACGCCCATGTATACTTCGTTGTCTTCTAGTGGTGGTGGTTTTGAGTGGATATTGGTGGTTGTCGATGGTGGCTTTGGCGGTTGGGTGGAGTGATTTTGATTTTGGGGAAGAAGATAGGTTGTAGCTTTATTATTTTTTTTTTTTCATTTATAAGGAAAAATGTGTTTTATCCAAAATGTCCCTACCTTATTTGAGGAAAATAATAAGTTTATTTATTTTGGGAGTCAACTAACAGTTTTGGCAGTCAAACTAATGGAAATCGTCATTTCAGACTTGAGCTGCCCATTTTTTAAAGATTTAGTACTCACGGTGGCACAAACTAAAGGTTTAAGTAAAATCTGCTAATAAACGAAAGGTTTGATACCTTAGCTGTAATTTTCCCCAGAAAATTATTACTAAGGAAATCTTTAAAAGCGCATGCAATTTCTTCAGTGTAGAAAAACAGGTTCTCCTCTTTCAGCATAAAATTACATGAGTAAATCAAAAATAAATGCAAAAACCTATTTATCTAAACAGATTATATTACCCAAAGTCTTAAGGGCCGGTAGAAATCTCCAAATCCAAGTCAAAATTTAAGGCTACATGCCGCCGATTCACTTTGAAATTTGGAATTATTAATCCAAGGTTTTCAAATCCAATTCACTCTGCCGACTTTCAATTTACGCCACTGTGTGTGTGTGTGTACGGCACACATACACCTAGATTTTTTTATTTTTTTGTTTGGAATAAAGTGTTTAACAAACATTTGAAATAATCGAGATAGATATTATTTTTATGAAGGATTCCTATCTTAACATGATGGCTCTGATACCAATTGTTAATTTTTAATTTCAATTATGTTAAAAATCAAGAATCGTCAATTAATGAATTAATAAAACAAATTCATACATTCAGAAGCCAGCATTGATATTAATAATAGTTATAATAGCAGTCAGATATTCCCCTCCTTGCTTCTCACAAAAATTAGCTATCAATGGGACAAACTAATAAAAATCATATGGAGAGGAGAGAGGACCTAACCTCTATATAGGAATTTATTTTTGTCGTCTCATTATCGACTTAAACCTTAATAAGGGTTTGCGCATAATCCCGGCCCACATATTCTAAATTACCACATTATATCAAATAAAGCCCGTAAGGTGTAAAACGGTCCAAATTAATCGCTTAACATAATTGGCCCAATCACAATTTCATTGTGAGCCATACATCTAACCCGTAAAATTTCAATAGAATGTGAAGACCATATTTGGAATTATTCCAACACCCTTCACTTAATCTATGCCACCTAACAAATTTTATGATGAAGAAATGGGACCAAACGACATCTAGAATTAAGTCTTTGCTAAGAGCAAAGTAAATAATCTGTTTTTGTTTAAGAGCACTGAAGAAAGGTGAACATTGGTGGAAGGTCATGTTTTAGATAAGACACAACTAATCTTTACTTTAATTATGATCCCAAAAGAATCACGAACTTAAACCAAAAATTTTGAAATGATTACAAATGAGAATCTTGTCATTAACCTTAAATTACCTTTTTAATTATCATTATGGACCACACAAGAAGATGCACAAGAAATTATCAATTGCTTGATCCTCTATGTTAAAATCATGAGAAAATCGAGTGATTAATAATGATTATGGAATACGAAGATTTTTAAGATATGTTTGGTACACAAAACTCAGCATTTAATTTGGCCAATTTTAGCTTGGGATTGGCGTCTGCTTATGTGCGTGGTGCTTGACTCGACCAGCAAATGTAAGCATTGAACCTTGTCGTTTGCGTAGAATATCCCTTTGACGTGGCGATTATGAAAGTGCAGTAGGTTGCTGCGCGGCAAACTTTGGCACTCTTTGCCAATATGGGCTAATTTTTAATGTTCAATGGGCAGATATCGTTGTCCCTCCCCCATCGTAATCATGAACAAAATTCTAATTTTTTTTTTATTTTTTTTAAAAATATCATTGAGTGCGTACAATCCAACTTAACATACTAAAAGTTCATCATTTTGAACAATGAAACTGTACACTCTTGATTAATGGAAACCACTTTTGTGCAGAGATTGCTTGGAGATCAAGTTCTGCTAACAGCATTATAAAGGGACAAGAATGCTACAACATTACACACATAAAAACCATAATACTTCTGGCCTCAAACAAAGTAGAAATGAAACCTCAAGAATCAAAAGCAACAGGGAACCCTTGAAGCCAAAGTCTCACAGTCATCTACCTGCGCGGCCGTATCTTTTAAGCAAACCTCATCCCCAAATGCCCCCATCTAAAATTTATCCAAGGATTTTCATACTTTTATTTACATCAGAGTGACAGACTCGGAAGAGTAGAGAACTACATAGGCATTATCCAGAACTTGGCAGCCATATTAGGAATGGATTCTTCCCAGATCATCACAAAGGTACACCCGAGCCTTAATGAATTGTCCAGGCTGTCAAAGAACATCAGCAATGGTACTCTGGAAAAGCTCGATACCACAGTCAACTCACTACAAGCTGAAAAACATATTCGCCTGGAGAGGGTAAATTTCACCGGCCTTTATGCTGGATTTCCATGTTCATCTATGCATTTAGGCCCGCAACATTTAATGAGATTCTGAGAGGAGGGTTCATTCAATTTAAATTAAATAACTAAAGTTATTTCTTTTTCTGAAGAAGTTTTGAGAGCTAAGGATCATCAAAAACACTATAATCTAACCGAAAATTTCATTGTGGCAAAGTCGGGAATTTCTTTTTTAGTTGTGAAAATTAACATGAATGGACTATTCAATTGACATGAAATTTAGCAATGATTAGAATGAATACTACCAATACTTAAACTTCCGTGCTTAACATGACCATTTCAGCTTCAACAGCTTGGTAAAGCGTTGGCCAACCTGTGGAATCTCATGGACACGCCTAGTGAAGACCGTCAATATTTCTTTCACGTCACTAGTTTATCATCGGTTTCATCCGATGAGATATTCACCACCGGAGGCCTCACTCTCAACATAGTGCAGCAGGTTTGTTGATTTACTTCCAGTTGAAGTTTCTTCAGAGCTCGATTATATATGAATATGACAGTGGGAATTGGGGACCATTGAGTTCTATATTTTAGACTCCCTCTCTCACAAATATGTGAAAGTTGTTGAAATTTACGGAATAATTATGTGTGTATTGAAAAAGTCTCCTATTGATGTGACGATTAGTCACAACTCTTTTAAATGGAAAATATACGTATCGCAGAGTCATATTATTTTCGATTAGGTAACTTTTCAAAAAGGTACATTATAAGAAGTAATGACATTTTGATATGATGCAATCTAGACCATTAAATATGAAAATGTGTGATCTATTGGTCCAACATTAATTTATGTCAAAAGAGGCAATCATTTCAAAAGCACACTTGAAAATCTATAAATAGAACCCTTGATTTCATATTTCTACACCAAATCAATTCAAGAAAAATTGATCTGAAAATTTCTCCTCTCTTCAATTCTTTTTTTTTTTTTTCTAATTTTGCTGAAATTAAATTTCGTTCAAATTGTTTTTAGAAATAAAATTCCGTCAAAACAATTTTAGTTTGTATCTATTACATTTAAATAGAATACTATCAACAATTTGGTTTGCCCAGCAAAATTAGCTTTGCGTTATATTAATTTTGAAAAAAGCATTGTATTTTGGGAAGTAGACGTCCATTTAATCTTGTTAGCACCAGTGCAATGGGTGAAATCTATCTCGATGAGATTTATATTCACATACCTACATTCATTCCATCTTCTAATTTCTAGGTTTCAGTAAGTCGCAATTTGTGCATATTTTCATGCGAGTATCTTGATTTCAATAAGTCAAAACTCTATTCGATATTTTGCACCAGTAAGTCACCATTTTACCGCATTTGAATGCACATATTTTTTGTTAAAAGATATATAATTATGCACCAATTTTTTCAACGAAAGTACGGTTCATCTAATCCTTGCCTCAATAGACCGTTTGATTGTTCTCTGTTGTCATACGTTTAAATTTTCTTTTTTTTTTTTTTTTTTTTTTTTTTTTTTTTTCTCTGTTGTCATACGTTTAAATTTTTTTTTTTTTTTTTTTTTGTCCATATCCGAATTTTAACAAGGTGGAATATGAAGTCAAGAGGCTGGATCAATTAAAAGCAAGCAAAATGAAAGAGTTTCTCTTCAAAAAAGGGGCTGAGCTCGAGGAAATATGCAGTCGGTCGCACATGGAAATTCCTTCTACATTAGAAATGGAAAAAATAATTAACCAACTAAACTCGGGTTAGACTAACTCTCTTAAAGGATTTGGTAGCATTTTCTGCTACGATATAAATGTTTGGACTAATTTCAATATACAATAAAGGGGAGATTGATCATGCCGATCTCGTCACAAGCATGAACGAACAGATATCGAAAGCTGAAGAAGAAGCTTTTAGCCGAAAGTCCATAATGGAAAAAATTGAAAAATGGATCTTAGCATGCAATGAAGAGCAATGGTTGGATGACTATAGCAGGGTGAGATTCTTATCCCGTTTATATACTCAATTAGTCAAGTCTAACCTTAATTTTAATCTCTAACATGATGCCTATAACATGGGTTATTACAGGATGAGAACCGATATTCAGTCAGCAGAGGTGCTCACAAGAAACTCAAAAGAGCTGAACGTGCAAGAATAATGGTTAATAAGATTCCAGGTAAAAGAAAAAATATTTCAATTTATTAGTTGAATCAATTTTGTTTGAAGGAGAAAACTTGCTTATTGGTCCAGATTGAGTGTAATTGTGGAAGAGCTTAAACCATAACCAATGCCTAATAAGCTTATATTCTTTTCATTTTTCCTTGGCAGCTTTGGTAGATTCGCTGATATCCAAGACTAAGAGCTGGGAAGAAGAAAGAAATAAAGTTTTCTTATATGATGAGGTGTGCAAGTACCTGTGGCAGCAATCTGAAAGCATAATTCTTATCATCTCATTGAATCATACATGCACATTTTAGGATTATAATTTGAGTTACTCAAACATAAAATGAAGAAATTAGTAAGAAAGCAACCGATTAGTAAGATTGGACACAAGAATTCGTGCAGCCATTTCCAAGTGATTGACAAAAGACTAAGGTGACCTGAGTTGATTTTATCATGTTCCACATCGAGAAAGATAAAGAAATCGACCTTAATCTTCTATATAAAGCCTACAAAGACAGAATCTATCTACTTTCATTTAAAGAACCACGACTCCCCCCCCCCCCCCCCCCCCCCCCCC